AGCTTGATTTAATTGCATTTAACTCAAAACCAGATCATCCTGTGAAGTGTAAAAAGAAATTGGATTGCAAATGAATAGCACTTGAAAGTAAAGATAGTGTTCTATAAAAACACTTTTCTGTTATCATGAAACCTCTTTAAAAAAATAAATAAAAATTTGAAAGCAGTAATACATGTGGAGCAGTTTCAGATATGACACTGATCGAGAAGTTGGAAGTAATTGTTTTCACATACTTTGAAAGTTGAGAATGGTCTCAGCCAAACAAGTGCGAGTGTAGGTCTCGTTAGATGTGGCTGGTGTGTTTAATGTCCAGATTTAATTTTTATCACTGATTAATAAGGCAGAGGTTCCCTGGCAAGTGATCAGAGTTGGAAGTGCGGTGGGGAGGGAGAGGTCTCCCTGTCTCCCACCTGAAGCAACAAAGCAGAGCTTCTCCACTTGCCACTGTTCCTGTCATCCAGTTTAGAGGGTTATGTTAAAATGCAGTTTTCTGGGAGGTTTGTTTATTGTTGCATAAAGCTGCAAGTGTGTGAACAGAGGCAGTATCACAAGCAGAGAAAGACTTGTTGCCTTAGTAGGTAGGTGAAAGTACCAAAGACACTGCAGAAATATGTAGTTTCCTTTCTCAGAACCTTAGTACTAAAAAGCTGAGGCTCTTCTAGAGCTTGGTGCAGTCTGGCATCTGTCAAGCTGCAGCTTTTAACCCTCCTGCTGAGATGAAGCACCTGGACTGCAGTTCTGCAGTTGTTCCACGCAGGTCTCTGTAGGGGCTGGCTTTGGAAGAGCCTGGCCTTCCTCTGCCTTTGTATCCCTCTCCCTGGGCAGCTGTGTGCCCAGCCATGCAGCGAGCTAGCTGCCTGGGGACCTAAGCCAGCTGAAACTAGTGGCTTCAAGTGCTGTTCTGCCAAAGCTGCCAGGCCTGGCGCAGCATGTGGCTGAAGGAGCAGTGGTGCTGGAGCAGAGAAAGAGGAAGGAGCAAGAAGGTGGAGGGCCGTGTTCCCCATCAGCTGCAGCCAGTGCTTCTGCTACCCTAAACTGACAATAGAAGTAGAGTTTTAGTGTGGAAATGGGCTTCTTACATCACTACAAAGTTCTGTTATAAACATTATAAACTAGGTGGGTTTTTTTAACGTACTTGGCGTGACTTCCCGAGCAAACCCATTTGTTTACCTCATTATGAAAATGACTTCAGAAGGATTGCTATCAGAGCAAGAAAGTCTCTTCCATAGGCTTGCATCTTCAGTATTATTTTTCCTTTATCAACCTAGATACAATGTTTATCACTTACCTGGAAAGGGAAAATTTAGCTGAGATGGATAGACCAAAAGCTAGTCAGCACTTTTACCCATTACCATTTTGGGGGCTTTGGGGAGATTGGGATACCTTCCTGCTTTGATTAACAGCCTGCTGAGCTCATCTATGGAACTTGCATTGCAGGAATGAATATGCCATTCAGTAGGTAGATAACTAGAAAAAAACTTCAAGTGTAACCGTGCCTGATGGATCTGTGACACCCGAGTGCACAGAGCTCTCAGATGGGGATGCTGCTGGATGAAATCGTCAGCTGTTCCCCTCACAGAGCTGATTTTCCTGGGTCAGTTCTGCAGGAACATCTGAATGGCAGCCTCAGGCTCGCTTCCCTTTGTAAGGTTTCCAGACCATGGTTTCAGTGAAGCATTTATCTTCATGCAGCTCCTTTGTCTTAACCACGTCACACGTCTAGCCTGTCTGTACTGCTCTCCTCAGCATGTAAAGGGAGTGGATTTAATTACAGAAATGAAAAACTACATAGGTCTTCAATTTTATGTAGCTTTAAAAATAACTGGGTTTGGTTTTTGTGGTTTTTTTAAGTTAAATTTATCATTTGTTGACAAGGTGTGAGAAAGGCATTCTTGTAACAGTAGCTTTAGCTGAAAATAATCAGCTTAAATACACACCTGCTAATCAGCTTTCAGTTGACACTGTTAAATGGATATAGCTGAAGTTAACATTTCTATAGGTTGTTTTAACCTCAGTACTGTGAATTTTGATTCACAGTAGGATCTGGGTAGAGGTTGGCTCAGACAGTGCAGTTTGAATCTTATTTTGGCCGTGTGGACATGTGCCGTGAAGTCCCAGCTGCCATGTTTTAACGCCTGTTGGTTTGCAGTTTGGGGACAGTCTCAGAAGAGGGACCAGGTGTGCCCAGCTCAGTGAAGTCTATGCCCTGCATGTTGCCAAGTTTAAGGGGAACATGAAGGCCCCCGCAGCTTGCACCCTGCACAGTTTCTTGCTTTGAAGTTTAATTGTGCACACTCCCAAGCTCCTGGATTTGCCTGGCAAAACCAATTTGGCTTGCTGTCAGATGGTCTGTTTTGCTGGGTTATTCCATATGACCCTTTCTATCAACATACCTTTGTTTCATGACTTGGACATGCATTACCATCCCAGGACAGGCCTTTGGCAGTGGCCGTGTGGCTGTGCTGACCGTAGGGCAGATGGTTACCAGACGCTGCTCTCTGCTCTCACTGGCTGGAAATGCATGCAAGGATTAGCCATGATAGGTATTTGGGGATGGGCTTTTCCAAAGGCAGTTCAGATTCATTAAAAATTGGATTCTGAACTTGGGTTTCCTTAAGATCTCCAGCTACAAAGACTAAACTTCATGGTTTGAATGTAAACGCCTTAGTTCTGGGAGCCTGGAGCAGGTAGGGATGTCAGGAGCAGGCTAAGTGTGTAAATTACTTCTAGTTCCTTGTTTAATTACATAAGTAGAAATTGCAAGAGCCGCATATTTCTTGAGAGGTACGAAACTACTCCTCTAAATTAATTGCACTCCAAATTGTTTCAGAGTCTCTTTGCAACCATGCTGGATGTGATCCAGCTCCGTCCTGCTACAAAACAGCAGGTGCAACGCTGACTCAGCCTGTGCCCGCCTTGGCCCTTTGAAAATTGCCATTCGTGAGCCTTTCTCTGTGGCCTGGAGTGGCCTGAGTGTACCCTGGACAGCCACACAGATGCTGATCTCCTCTCTCCCCTCCAGTTGCTGCACTGAAATTGATAAACTATTTTCTTCAAAATACCTTCATGCTCTCTTTTTGTTAATAATCAATTATCTTCAAAATGCTTTGGAGGTTTGGGTAGAAGAGACTAATGTGTTTTACAGACAGGTAGAGTGAATGTGATTTGGTTTTCAGGTTAAAAATACTTAATAAATAATTCTTTCAATTGTTTGAGGCAGGGCCTAACTTACCACACGTCATACAATTGCCTGCTGACACTTGTACTGTTTGCAGCATTGGGGATGGGAACTTACTTCCTGATGAGTGAATGCTTCACATATTTATTCAATCATACCTGCTTAAATGCAGCTTAAAGCAGGCATTTTTTGTGTGCTTGCCTCGTCTCAAGTTGTCCAAGAACAAAAATACAAAATGTAGCTTAACGTCCTGTATCATGGTAGAAGTGACAGCAAGAGAAACTTTGTCAGAAACTTGAAACCTTGTTTGGGTAGAATTTTCAATATTGAGAATCTGCCAAAAGCATAAATTAATTATTAGGTAGATTTTAAAATATGTATTGTACGGAGAAGGAAACGAGCCTTTGTGACTACAGTAGATTTACTGTCAACTGAACATACATCTTGCAGTCTAAAATACAACATTTGAGCAGTGAAATGTCACGTAATGCTAAATACTTGGGTTTTTTTGTGGTAATTACCCCCTTTTCACATCCCCTCATCTATTAAAATGCTGCCAGCTTACTGTCCTAGTGAACTCGGTTTCAAAATTGCAGTCAGTCTAATGCCTTTTCATAAACCATAACTAGGCCAGTGAGTGACTTGGGACAATTTTATGAACATAACTATTTGTTACAAACAGTTTAATTCAGGGTTCAAAAAAATGTTCAGTATATTTTATCTTCTTAGCGTTATGGTTATGATGACTTTTAGGGGAATATAAGGTAAAAAGTGTTTTATCTAAGCAGTTTAGCCATAAGGACTGAATTGCGTGAAGAATGGTTTATAATTCGAACAAAAATTTTGAAAGGAGATACTGCACAATTGTAAGGTGTGTCTCCTGGCTACTTCTAGTGGAAACACGAAATACATTTTTTAGGGATACGAAGGCAAGTTTTTGTAGCCCTCTCGTTTAGCTGGAGTTAGTGTTGATGTGGTTTGGATATGCTGCCGTTTGCACTATTGCAGGGAGTTGCAATGTGCCTGGTTCTCCACGCCTCTTTCTTGCAGGCATTTGTTTTATGATTTTGGCATGTAAAAAGCTTCACAATTAAATACCCAAGATGCAAGTGGCCATTGTTGATTACTGCAGATGAGTGGTAATTTCATGTGTCAAAACCAGCATTTCTGCTCTGAAGATATGCTGTTACCAAATCTCAGAAGCTTCCTATGATTCACAAAAGTCATGGTTCTGCCCAAAAGAACTGGGCTCTTAATTTTTAACAGTGTTAAGAAGCTTAAAAAATAGATTAATCTTGCTACATGTTGTAGTAATACAGGGAGAGACTGTTGTATGGTTGGGAGGAGAGGCTGAGACAACCAGGTGGGGAGAGAATATTTATGGCTCCGCTATTTGAATAAAGAAGTAAATATTGCTTCTGGCTGCCAAGTACAGCATTCCATATGCTCTATCCTGAAAGCTTAAAACGGTTTAGTGTTACAGGTAAGATTGAACAGACCGTGAACAAATGGATAGTGTATCTTTTCGTCTCTGTGGCTTGATTTTTCTCTGAAATGCTGTTGGACCATTTGTTCCCCGTTAACTTTTTTTGCTCAAGGTTTGTGGTCTGATGTGTGGCATAATGAAGATGTGGAATTGCAGAGGAAAGCGCTTTAAGAAGGGAAAGGAAGCACAGTAGTAGTGTACAAAAACCCTGAAGTATGCTCTTCAGGTATCTCTGAAGTGGCTGAGAAGTTGAAATGGAGATTTGTGTGTGTGCTACTGGAAAATCACTGGAAAATCACACGGTTACAAATTTTTGTTTAAAGTTAAGCATCAGTTCAGTGAGAAGACTCTTGAGTAGCCATCGAGTTTGGTTAGTCAGGAGTTTTGCAGTTATCTCCTTGCTGTGGATAGATGGCCAAACAAAGGAATTAGGGACAAATCATAAAAAAGGTAACTTTCTTAAAACAAGGCAGAACAGAGTCATAAAATACATGATTCAGTCTGGAGATGGATAGGACTGTGCCAAATATTTGCTGCAGATGCTTCAGTCTCAGGTATTACAGGACTTCTTATAATTTCAAATTAACAATTCTTTAGTTGGTGCTTTTGCTGAAGCTTCACTTTCTTGCCACCACCATGATACTGGGCGCTCACTGGTTGTTCAGTAGTTCTGCTCCTTGTTTGGATGGCAGAAATTCAAGATCCCTTCCTTGCGATCCACAAGGAAGCGTTGCAGCCTCCAGCTTTGTGGAGGCCAGACATTACCTTTAAGGTAACAACATTTAACTGCCAATTTAAGTTCTAAAAGTTTTTGTTTGCCTTTGTGACATTAGTCTTCTTATAAATCTGAATTGCAAACTGCCTGAAGGGGAACTGATGCGTCTTATTTTCTTTGACAAAGGTGTGGTTTGCTGTTTGCTTTTTTTCTGAAGTGCTTTGCATCATCTGAAGCTCTCTGTGCTGACATTCAAAGATAAGGCAATGACAGGCAGCGCATTCTTTTAGCTCAATGGAGGCAAATGAATAGCTCTGACCTTGCAAATAAAGAATGTGATGCTTGCTTTTTCCTCTGTTGCTTTTAAATGAAGTGGATCATATGAAGCATTTTGCTACAGTTACCTTAAGTGAGGCATGCAAGTTTGTGTGTTTCCTCTCAGCTATGCCCTTACTCTTGCTATAGAAGGTCAGATGCATGTCCATGAGGTTGACTCTGTAGTATCTTGGTTTGGCTTGCTGCCCGGTTCTTTGCATTATAAAGTGATGTCCCCTAACAGTGATGTTTCCTCTTCCCCAAAAACATGACAATGCAGCACACATATATTCAATAACTTTATGCCAAGGTGATATTACAGAAGTGTGAATGCTAATTTTTCCTTTTTTTTTTTTCTTTTCCTTTTTTTTCCAAAGGGAGCATTTGTAAGAGAAGTTTGTGGAAGGAATAAAGATAAGGAAGTAGTAAAAATTTTTCTTCGTGGTGGTATAGAAAGTATCCAACACTGTAAAATCTGCTTGCGTTGCAGGGAATGTTGTGGTAGGTTTTAGCTGAGCCTCTGTTGCATCATTGCCAGAATGAAGAGCTTGGCTTAAATCTGTCCAGATCAGCAGATCTTTCACACAGGCCCAGCACTGTTAAGCCTGCTTTTAAGCCTAATTCAGATAGACACACGTGCACATCAATTTCCATGCAGTACAGCTCACTCTCTTAATGCTTTCTAGTTCAACTGCAGGTTTCAAGTGATGGTAGCAGGGCCAAGACTCTTTACAGTTTCCTTAAAAGAGAGTGCAGGTATCATTTATTGAGTTACTCACATGCTTTTAATGAGCTGCAGCAAAGAGGGAATCAGATGAGTAACTAAAGGTGCTCTGCTGGGGCAGGCTGCTTTCCCTTGAACTGAGCCTACTACTGCTTTGGAAATCAGTCCTTGAACATACTGTAATTTATTTATTTAAGGCTCAAACAACTGTGATGAAAATTGCCTGTACTGCCTGTACAAAAATTCTTAAATCTTCCCATGCTTTTACAGAGTTTATGTTTTCATTGGGCAGTGTGCCAGGCTGCCGAGGAGCACGTGCATGCATGACTTCTCCTGTCTTTGAGGATCACATTAACATTTTAGTTGATTTTTCTCTTAAGCAGTCACTCATCTGACTAATTTATTTTAAACCAAAGTACTGGAGTCTGTATAGAAGCAGTTTTGCTCAAGGTCAGTGACCACACTCTTGTGTTAGAGATCCTGTTTCATCTTGCTTCCAGGCTGTGGGTGCAGCTGGAACTGCATAAGGCATTTGCTGCAGTCATATTAACCGTAGGAAAGTGACTCCTCCTATTCAGGCCTGTCTAGTTGGAGATGGGAATGCTAAATTTCAAACTCAAAAAATAGAAGTTACTAACTTCTGTTTTGCCTTTTAACCAGCTGCAAATATGGGGAGACAAGCCTAGGCAGTCTTCATTGCATACCTGTGTTAATACAGATATAAAGAGAATTACACAGCATTTCTCTTTTCTTAATACTCTACACTTTTTGCCTAAAACTGTTCTGTATCTTGCATATTTAAATATCTCAGACATACAAACATTAGCAGTACCTTTCAGATTGGCAGTTCTGTATCGGGCTGTCCATGTCAGGCCAGAATTTCTTCTCTGCTGTATATCTGAGTGCAAGTAACATTGAATGTGTAGTTTTCAGGATATTAAGACTTTCAAATTTAGCTGAGTGGTTTATATATAAAAAATTAAAGTACTCTGACAAACAAGCTACTGAAATGGGATCAAATTAGGTGAAGTAGCAAATGCAATTAATTTTTTTATTGGAGCACTTCAGTCTGTCTCTTGAGACATTCATTCTTCTATGACATGACAAACTGTCACACTTGTGCTTTCTGTGTGGGTTCGTGGCTTAACTAGATTCAATTAATTTGCAGCATAAGAAACACTGAATTTGATATTTTTGCGAAGATCTTTTCACGTGTCCTTGGAGGTGGCACACATCTCACGGATAAATCATATTTGTCTTTGCAGAACCATGTTGCTGTGCAGTGTGCTCACTGTCTTTAATACCTCTAAATGAAGGTACGACATTAGTATTGAAATTGATCCGGTTACTTTTTTTTCTCTTTTTTCTTTTGACATCTTCAGTAACCACTTCTGCAGCATGTGAGAAATTGGAGAGAGACAGGAATGAACTGCAAGTTGCTTATGAAGGGTTTTTGCAAAAGTTAAACCAGCAACATCATGATGACTTAGCTGAGCTGGAGGAGAGGCTTAAACAGTTTTACACTGCAGAATGTGAGAAACTCCAAAGTATCTGCATTGAGGAAGCTGAAAAGTACAAAGCACAACTCCAGGAGCAGGTTTGTAATATTCAAAGTAGAAAAGTTCTCTAGCAATTGATTTCTGCTACAAATGAGTCTTCAGAGAATCCTGGGTTTTCCAATAACAGAGCTACTTAATTTAATGTGAAACTCTACTTCATTGCAGCTATAAACACACTACTACATTAAGCTGTACAGAGCTTAAGCTTATGTTTAAATGTGGTAGAGATTCCTTCTGTTCTGCCAGCTTCAGTAACTTCTAGAGCTCCACTGGATATCTGAGGCAGCTTGAGTCTCAAGATTTATAGAAACACACATGCCCTCTGACCTTGCTTTGCAACAACTCCATGTGTGTGACAGATGCACACATCATCCTGTTGGTAGTGGTAAACTGTAAGGCACCATTTTCATGTACTGAGTGTTGCACCTGGCTTAGCTTCTCCTGTTAAATCCTACTAAACCATTTAAATGTACTCGATGTAATACATAAAGTCATCATCATGCTTTAAAAAAGGGTTGATACACGTAAGGGGATAAAAATCATGTTGTCATATTGCAGGTGGACAACTTAAATACCACACATGAAAGCTTTAAGCTAGAACTCGAAAACAGACACTCAGAAAAAGTGGAGGAGCTGAAAAAGGAGTATGAATCCTCTTTTTCAGGCAAGTATTTTGTATTCAAGTGCTATAGTACTGCTAGTCACAAACAAAAATATTCAGGCTTTCTGATTAGTATGTCCACTTCATTGTTCTTAGTGGCAAGATATCTTTAAAAACATGGCTGAACTCCTTCCTTTGGAATTAAGAAGCCTCATTTTACATACAGCCATAACCATGATCCCATTGTAGTTGAATGAAACTTTTAAAACCATTAGAGTGGAAGTGACTTTTTCTTTCAATAGAAGATGTCAGAATTGCCCTCAATGTCTCAAGTGACTGGGTGATTCCTCCTACTCTGTAGTTCAATAAGGAGCACCTCAGAATTGAAACTGAGGATAAGTATGTATCCTTGTATGCTTTCCAGAATGACATGGACATTATACACCATGTAGCAGTACACTGGGGCAGGGGGTGGTGAGTGTGCTCAGGTTTAAATGACGTTGCATCTCACTGATTTAAGTGATGATGATTTCCATCCTCCTTCCAACTCCACTTGATAGCCAAGTTTCCAGTGACACTTTTGTGTCTCCACAACTGGTGACGCTTCCACTCCTGTCAAAGAGCAAACTCCTCTGCAGGGCATCTCTGAAGTAGGAAAGGAAATTTTTTTCTAGAAGCTTGTAAAGGACACAGCTTCAGTTTTTGCTGTGTTTCCTTGCAGAAACTCAGCTTTTGTCAGATGTGGCTTGTGCTTAATAAATCCACTTGCTGCACGCAGATGAATGCTTTCAAAACTGACATGCTCTCAGCTAATGAAATGAATATGCGAGGGACAGTCCACAAATCTAAAGTGGCAATAAATCTGGTACTTCATACGTACTTTACATCAGTTAATGATAAATGTCATTTCTGTATTGTCATTGACTCTGCATATGTGTATAGGCTGGCTTTACAGGCTGTTTCTTTAAAAAAGAATTTTCACTTCTTATATTAAAAATCTGCAAAAATAACTTGTTTCAGAGCTCAAGAGCACCCATGAATCTGAAAGGAAGTCACTTGAAGATTCCTTTAAAGAGAAGCAGGAATTGCTGGAGGTTTGTTAAGGGCTGGGGTCAAGTCTTAAAACTTGAAAGGCAGTTTGGAGATGTGCAGTCAATTCTTGGCCTAACTATACCATGTCTTTTTATTTCAGAAAAAAATCGATGAACTAAAAAGTGAAAACGACTCTCTGAGTGAGAAGCTGAAATTAGAAGAACAAAAACAAATAGCCAAAGAAAAAGCCAATCTTGTAAGTCTTGATCTTCAAAAGTAATGTGGATGAGCAGATCTTGCCTGGGTTTATTGCAAAATATGAAAGGTTTGCAATCAAGCCTGATAGGACTCTCATACTTAGTAATATTTTATGTAAGTGCCTCACCTGCCAGAAGTTTCTT